AAAAAAAAAAAAAAAAAAAAAAAAAAAAAAAAAAAATTGCCATCTTTTTAATATAACTTTTTTCTTGAAAAAACAACTGACAAACATTATTCAGACTTGGTTATTTGGCATTCATTTTCTCAAAGATGAAATAAGTGAATACTTTTCTGTTAGTAGGTTTGCAGTACATCATGATTTTATTCTTCATGGGAAGTTGGTACATGTATATAATGCATCAAAGAGCCAGTACTATTTTGGAAAAAAAAAAGCTAACAATATTTGTTGCTAATGAAAAAATTGAGTCTTTCAAGTAAAAATTAGAATTTTAGTCTGGCATAGTGGTGCACACCTATAGTTCCAGCTACTCTAAAGTCAGAGGTAGGATTGCTTCTGCTCAGGATTTGGGAGCCAGCCGGGGTATTTTATATTTTTTTTCTTCAATTTTTTTTTCAGCTTTAATTGAATTTATTGGTACATTTTAGGGATACAGTACAGTTACATTCATTGTTGGGATCTTGTACCTCTACATGACAAGTCTTGATTCTCATTTTTTCCCCTTATCTCAATTTTTATTTTTTATTAGTACATAATAACTACATTCGTCATGGGGAACTGGCACATGTACATAACACATCTTAATTCTTTTTCATCTCCTTTCCCTCCCTTTCCTCCCCTCTCCCTCCATCTCTTGGTCCCCTGCACCATGATTAACAGCTTTCACATAAAGACTTTTCTGCTGAGGTGAATGTGATTTTTTTTTTTTTTTTGGTACCAGGGATCAAACTCAAGTCCTTGGGCTTATGAGGCAGGCAGGTGGTGGTACCACTGAGCCAAATCCCCAGCCCGTGAATGTGATTTTTTTTGTTTTTGTTTTTTGAGAGAGGGTCTCACTATGTAGTTGAGACTGACCTGGAACTCACTGTGTAGCCCAGGCTGGTCTTGAACTCACAGCGATACTACTGCCTCCAGCCTCCTGAGTGCTGGGATTACAGGTGTGCGCCACCACGCCCGGCATGAATGTGATTTTTAATGAATATGATTTTTAAAATAAAGATTGTATAATGAAATGTGTTAATATTTGGAGAACTTAAGTCAGTGAACTCATTTTTCAGATGGAATATATGATACTATGAAATCATTCATGCATAAAAAGATTCATTCAAGGGCTGGGGATTTATAGCTCAGTGGTACTGCTACCTACCTTGTAAGCATAAGGTACCAAGTTCGATCCCAGGTACCAAAAAAAAAAAAAAAAAAGATTCATTCAAAATTCAAGATAGACCAATACATTTTGATATAACAACACAAAAAGTTCATTGATATGTTTTCAGATTTCACATTGTAACTAATCTTTAAGAAACTGCTATTTATAAGTTTTAGTGTAGTATCAAAAAAAACTTAAATTCTCAGTCCTTCATTGTTTTCTTTCATATGTTTATGTTAAAAATAATGAATTTATTTTTATTCTTGAGATTTAATACATATTTTAAATTTTTCTTAGTTTAAAATTTTCTGCTATAGTAAATATTGATAGATATAACCCACATAAAGAACAGTACTTTTGGGTTGAGAGTGCAGGTTAGTGGTACAGCACTTGCCTACCATATACAAGGGTCTGGGTCAAATCCCTAGTATCACAAGAAATAAACAAAAAAAAACCCCAAAATCTGGGCATGGTGACACACACCTATAACCTTAGCACTAAGGAGGCGGAGGAAGGAGGATTGCCTCAAGTTTGAGGCCAGCCAGTACT